TGTAGCTCCTCATTGTTCCGCGGTCCCCTGTCCAGTTATACGTGAGACCTCGAGAAGAGCTGAAGCCGCCGGTTGTTCTTTATTTTCTGTCATTGCCCCCCCCAGTGACTAGAAGAACATATGTCTGTCAAGGCGAGTTTTTATTTTTTTTTTTTTGGTGACACGTCAAGCGAGGATTTTTTGTGTCAAGATACATCCTTTCAGGGTATACTGTTTACATACCTCAAACCATTGATTCCGGGCTATTTTTTTAAAGATAGAACTTGAGAGTTAAACTAGGCTGCCAGGAAGAGGGGTCGCGGAAATTTCTTTTCCGATGGTTGGCTATTACCCCTTGAGGTTGTTTCCTTCTCACAGCTTTGTTAGTGCTGTGGCACCGTAACTGGTCTACGCTTGTTAGATTGGTATCGGAGAGGTTCCCTTGGTGCCGCGAATTGTGTATTGATGGGTGTATATTCATGTCGATAAGATGTGGAGTTGAGTTCGCTCGGCTTCACAGCAAAGTACTCTATCCAAACAACGGTTATTTAGATTGTACTATGCTTCTGCTTCTTCTGCGTCTTCGGCAGTGATGTCTGAAGACCACTTGTTTGATGAAAGTCCTGAAGTTGATTATGCCAATGTATGTGGTCAATTTTGTGGAGGAAATAGTATGAGAGTTTCAAGCCTGGAAAGAAAGGGCAGTTTATTTCCTATAGTGGTCTGGGTGATTAAAACCTCAATCAAATTGGGAGACTGAACTTGCAAGAGAATAAAATGTTCTGGAAAGCTGTAAAGCTATTTGGATTTTATCATTCAATCACTTCCTTTAGAATTATTATTTCACATATATGCATCGGAGGGAATGCACATGGAAGTATTTGCTTTGCTCAGAGATATTGTTGGATTCTATAGGAAAGCCAATTTAGACGCGTTCAAATTGTTTTCAACTTTGTTAGATTCACCTCAGCATGTGGAACGATCATATTGTTGTGTATGACATATTAATAAAGTACTTGCATCCTATTCCATGCTTGATGACGCATTTGATGTGTTCGTGAGAATTAAGCATCTGGGGTTAACCTGATGCATTGTCGTGCAATTTCTTGTTGAAATGCTTGGTAGAAAGAAAGAGGGTGGAGTTGGTTTGGAAAATTATTTCAAGAGCTAAAAATCTCAGGCCCATCACCAAATATCTACACGTATAATTATGATGAGCTTCTACTGTAGAGGAGATTGTGGGCAGGATGTAGATATTAACCAAGCTACCGGAATTTTTGAAGAAATATTGAGGAGTGGGGAAAACCCAACTGTTGTCACATATAGTATTTATATTCGTGGACTTTGTAAAGTTGGTTCTGTTGCTGCTGCTCTGCAATTCATTCGTGAATGCAGGTATAGAAAACTGCCTCTCAATAGCTATTGCTTCAATTCTGTAATTTATGAATTTTGTCAAAGAGGTGCAGTTCATGAAGCTTTGGAAGTCTTCCAAGAAATGCGGAGCTCAGGAGTATTGCCTGATGTTTGTAGCTACAGTATTTTAATTCATGCTGTTGTAAAAAGGGTGATATAGTGAAAGCTTTTGACTTGATTGAGGAAATGGAACTTTGTAATATAAAACCATCCATAATTAGTTACACCTCCCTCATCTTGGTCTATGCAAGAGTAAGCTGATGGAATTTTCAATGTGTGTGTTTCGGAATATCGGTGCCTCTGGATACAAATATGATCAGGCTGCTTATGAAACTTTAATCAATGGATATTGCTGTCAAGGTGATATGGGTTCAGCCAAAAAAAGCTTTTGGAGGAGATGATCACAAATGATCTGGTTCCGACTTCTTTTGGTTATCAGTGTATAATTGGAGGATTCTACAAACTGGGATTCGTAGACAAGCATTGGAAATTCTAAATTCCATGCTACAAAGGTGTGGTGTTTTGCCAAATACCATCACTTGCAATTTTATTATCGATGGGCTCTGCAGAGAAGGCCGTTTCATGGAAGCCTTGACTCTACTGGAAGAGTTCCAAGACCAAGGAATTGACCTAAACTCTCATTCATATAACGCTGTCATCTGCAGTCTTTGCAAGAGAGGATATTTAAAATGGGCATGGGAGCTCCTTCCAAGAATGATGAAAAGGAATGTGCTTCCAGGAGTTGTTAATTATACAACTCTCATAGACGCTTTTGCCAAACAATCTCATCTAAAGAAGGCCTTATGGTTATACACTAAAATGCTGAAAGTTGGAGTCAGTCCCAACACCATCACTTATACAGTCCTCATTAACATCTTTTGCCGCGTGGGCAAAATGCATGAAGCTTTTGGTTTTTACAAGAAAATGATAGAAGATGGTTTGAATCCAGATCATATTTCATATACATCTTTAATAGCTGGTTTTTGTAGTACTGGAGATATGAGAAGGGCTTGGGTAGTATTCCAAGAAATGTTGAGGAAAGGCCTTTTGCCTGATGTATTTACTTACACATGTTTGATAGATGGATTTTGCAAGTTAAACCGGATAGATTCAGCCTCTTTTCTGTTTGATGAAATGAACAGAAAAGCAGTTAATCCTAGTGTAGTCACTTACACTATTCTCATTGCTTGGTACCGTAAACATGGATATGCAGATCAGGCGCATAGGTTATATCGTGAAATGAGGATAAAGGGTATTTCACCAGATGATATAACTCATACAGTTTATTTTGGGAGGCGGTAGAGCAGAAGCTGAGGTTTCATGATATTTTGATGGTACGTGCCTCACATTTTCTCATGTTTGATCGATTATTTATGCTAGTTTACTAAAATTCTCTCTAATTGATGGCCCATTTGAAATAACAAGATCATTAATTATAGAGCGCTTTTCAATAGCTGTCACACTCACTATTTTTTTTTAAAAAAAATCACATTTCTTGCATAATTTTCTGAATTTAGTTTGAGGAAGTGTTTTTTCTTTTCCGAGAAATTAAATCATATTTCCTATGTAACTATACTTTGCAGGTTTAACGTTTCATTGTGATGTAGCTGACATTCTGACAATATGATTTATTGCAAACTGGAGGCATTGTTCTAGTAATATAAGTAAATGTAGTTTCTAATGTGCTTGACACACAATTTTAATGTGAGAGCATGCTAAGAAGGTTGAATTACTTGATGGATTTAAAGAATTGACTTGATAACTAATCACAATTTTTTTTATGGTGAAGGAGTCATGACTGTTTTGCACCGTATGATTGTGGCCAATAACAGAATTTGGATTCTTATCCTGGTCGTGGTGCTGAAGTGGTAAGGTTTTCCTTCATAGTAATGACTTATTCCTAAGGGAGAAAATGATCAGCATTTTAAGTTAGATCTTCACTTGCCCATATGTTTTTCCTCTTCAGGAAAGCATCTCTCAATTTGGGGATGTTATTATCAGCCTGGACCACTATGAGCTTGGATCACAACAATTGGTATCTATTTTATGGTTGCCCTTGCATTATGCAGGGAGCTGCAAGGTAATACTGCTTTGCACCGTGCAATGTGATCCAATGTGAAAGGAGAGGGACCAACTGGTTCGGGTCTTGCCTGCTTGAAGTTGATATTGCCAAGACTTTCGGATGAGATGACACAACAGTAGTGAAGGCAATGTACACTGTAAGCAAAGCTGGGGATTTCCCATTTGCTGCTCAAAGACGCCATTGGAACTCATTTTCAGCCCTTCCTACTTCCCTTGAATTTAACCTGAGAATCATTACTCTGGTTAGTTTCTGTAGTAGACTACATTTTCTTTGCTTTGTTTTGGGAAATAACTTTATGACCTTTATATTTGACTTTGTTATTGGTAGTGGTTGGTTTTTTTTCCCAAAAAAATTAATAGAGAATCATATATTGGGTTTTGAAACTGCCAATTTACAACGTGCCTGATAGGAAATAATATCCAAGAATCGGACAAGGATAGAGGAAAAATTGACAATGTTTCCAACCATATGTCCTTTGTTTAATTATATTATCAAGCACCACCTGTTTCATTTTTACAGCGTCAGTCATTTCCCCTTCATGTTTTTTTCAGGTTCCATCCCACCAACGTAGCTTTGGTTAGCCTGTTATGTTTTTAAGCCTATGCCAGTTCAAAAATGTTGTTAATATTTCTTAGCACACCCCCTATTTCTCGGAACACAAGCTCGTCATTGACATTTGGTTGGCTACCGCCTGACTTTTTTCAAGGAGTAATATCCCTGTATAAATCTCGTGATGACCGGTTGTCACTCTCGCACTACCATCCTCCACAAAGTCTACCATGCTTCCACATAGCTTTAGAAACCTTCCATCGTCTTCTCATATATATTATTTATAGTAGTATATGCTCTTGAATGAATTCTTATAAATCATTTGTTCAGGTATATACTTGAAATCTTGAATTTGGATAAAGTAATATCAAACCACACAGAAGAAGGATCAATTACCTGCCGGAGGTTTACTTGATCATTTTCTAGATTAGGGCTGCAATTTTTGTCAGGGGAGGAATTTTTTGGGATTGCAAATATTTGCGCTAGAAAGTCATGCTCTATGTGAACTCTGAATCTGCGAGTATTGGCTTGAGATGTTTATATTATCATCCAGTGAGAAGCTGTTTTACTTCATCACTATTCAGCCATTAGCAATTTGCTGAGTTTGTCTTAAGCTACTAAATATGAATGTTCATTTCTATAAGCTGCGGGTAATTCAATGTCTTGACATATGAAAACTACATTGAGATCAGTATAACAGTATCAACATGGTGGGATTCATCATATTTTATGAGCGTCATATTTCTGAATCACCTGCTTTGTTTTGTCTCTGAAAACTTTCTGGGCCTCGAATACTTGATGCAAACTTGAGGAAACAAGTAATAATTTCAACTAACAGTGTTTTTTGTCTATGTGAATTCTGCTAATACTAACGGTATCCTTGTTTCTTTACCACCCCAGGTGTGAAGCAGATGCGACTTGGAACCTTACGAGACCATATGCTTGCAGATTGTGATGCTATTCAATTGCAGACACAGCTGAATTTGAACATGTCCTAAGTCATTTGTCTTGATTGTGTTAGCTGGTTGATTACACGCCGGGATTTCAAGGTGCTGTATCGACTCGAGTACACTCATATAGCATGATCAACTATTCGATATGTGTACATATATACTACTAGTATGTGATTGTAAATAGCTTTTGAGCCTTTTCTTGCCTTGGATCCCAAGGGGGAACATGGATAATAGCGTCTGAATATACTAGGATACGCATAATAGTTGCCTTTTAGTACTTGATTCTGAGGTAGTCAAATTTATCTATACTGTTGCTTTAAATGTGGACAAAATTAAGATTAAATTACTTATCTTTGTTAAGTTAGTGCATATATGCATTTTAACAATTAATAATAACACAATAGCAAGTTTTCATATTTCTTAGATGAAGCTACAAATGAACATGTGCGTTTTACCAATTAATAATAACAAAATAATAAGGGTCCATATGAAAATTTATAAATCCTAATTTTTGTTATAGGAGCTAATACAAAAATTTACAAATGTTCATGGGTAAATTTAAAAGTTCAATATGCATTTTAACACTAACAATAACAAAATAGCAAATGTGATTAGAAAAATTTACCTAAATTTAATCTTTTAATTACTTCTACTTGTGAAAGGTTCAAGTAACGTCCCTCAATCTTTTGCACTTGATTCTTTGTGGAGTTGGAAAGTGATTAACATTGATCATAGGAGAGAGTATGGAAAAAAGATAAAATGACATGCCAACGTGTATGACCAGTTTTAGTGACTACGTTTTTTACATCATCGTACATAATATTGCAATCATAAAGCTGAGAGCTAATCACGTTGATTAAAATAATGGGTTAAGGCAAGATGCGCCTGTAAGGGTTGGGTCCGACTGGTCGCAAACGGGGGCGCAAGACGCGTTCTCCTACCGGGTCATGGGCTCGATTCCTGGCGAGGCACCCTGGGATTAATCTGGTCGATACGCTAGGATACCCTGAGTTAGCGATAACATCCTACTCAAAAATAATGGGTTAAGGCAACGTATTTACTAAGTACCGCTGGCCCTCTGAAATTTTTCTCAGGAGTTTAAAATTATAATAATATTACCATTTTCGTTAAAAAATATCTTTACAATTAAAAAACTAATATTGATTATTAAAATAATAATATTGAACGTTAATATTTTTAACGGTAAAAGGTAATATCACTATAATTCAAAACTTTTAGGAGAAATTTGCATCTAAAAAAATTCTAAATACCTAATGTTTCTAAGTAAAAATTTTTAAAACAAATTTGCACGTTATCCCTAAAATAATAGTGGATTCAATTCAGTCATCTGGTTTGATGTTAGATTAAAAAATGAATAGTTTAGATTTAATATTTTAAAAAGTAAAAGTCCATGTTCTCTTTTCTGTTTATGTAATATTATAATAATGATTTTATAAAGTACTCCTCCGGTCCTTAATATAGAACCCAATTCTTGAGTTGATTTTAGTCTTAAATATAAGACCCGTTTCTCATATTTATCAATTTTCTCTAAATTACTCCTATAGATACTCCCTCAACCATAATCAAATAGAAGAGGGAGAAGGGGTATTAAAAAAGATGATTGTGGTATTTTAGGAAAAATGTGTCACTTTTCTTATAATTAACTAACTTACCTAACTTCCTTAATCTAATCAAATTAGTTAAATGGGTCTTATATTAAGAACCGGAGAAGTATAAAATATGAATCATCTATTATTGGATCCAACCGTGGAGATCGGATTCTAAGAAGAGAGAGAGAGAGAGAGAGAGAGAGATTCTAAATATTCTCTCCTCCCATTTGATACCTACAAGCATTGCATCACAGATTTGTTTTCTACGGATTATGCCAGCATATTCCTTTACACTCCCGTGCCCCTTGACCCATTTGTTTTTTAAGAGGGGAAAAAACCTAGTATTTAATGGTTTTTTATGATAATTATTCATTATTAAATTCTTTATATATAGGAATACAATTGTTGCAGAATTACCTGCCACAAAATTAACTCAGACAATAGTTGAAACGAAAAAAAGATCATTCGGACAAAAACCAAGAAAAGAAAACAGCAAGAGCGGCAACAAATTAGGAATTAAAAATGCAGCTTGAAATACAGAATGAATTATCTTGTCTATAATTTGCGAATATACCTTCCTATCATGTTTACGCGAGCCCAAGCAAACATCCAGATTTTTTTCCCCTAAAATATAGGTATCCTTCTATTAGAGGCAATCATATTTAAGGTATTATTGGATACTAAATGTGAGTACCTTTTTTAACGGGATTTGAACATTGATTCATCACATTGTGAGAAACTAACTCATTTCGTTAAACTTAACCCCATTGGTAAATATACAGATTTTAAGCGATGTGATTATTGAAGAGAGAATTTGACGTGACCCAATTTCATATTTGCATACATTAAAAAAAAAAAACGGCCTTGTCAAAAAAATTTTGAATATTTTGTAAGAATATATTTCCATTAATAAAGTCAATGTTAAAAATTAAATTAACTTAGATATTTTTTATTTTTCAGATTAAAAGAATGAATCCCTTTTGTTATGAGGACAATTGATTTAAAAATATACTCCTCCGGTTCTTAATATAAGACCCAATTCTTAAGTTGGTTTTGGTTCTAAATATAAGACCCCTATAGATACTCCCTCAACCATAATCAAGTAGAAGAGGGAGAGAAGGTATTAAGAAAAATGATTATGGTGTTTTAGGAAAAATGTGTCACTTTTCTTATAATTAACTAACTTGCCTAACTTCCTTAATCTAATCAAACTAGTTAAATGGGTCTTATATTAAGGACCGGAAGAGTACCTTTTTGGCCGATACTGTATTTTTTTCGTAAGTATACTATTTTCGTTTTGTGTTCTAAAATTTTTGTACCCTTCCGCAGCAGCTAAACTCAAATTTTGTGTGGCCAGAAACAAATGGGACTTGGTTTCTAATTTCAGTTTTTTTTTTGAGCCAAAAATTTTAGTTTTTTTTTTTAACTTTAATTGTGTTAGTGATGGTTTTTCATCAATTAATATTATTTTAAAAAGTTAAACTTAATGTATTAACATTTGATAATATTTTATTAATATTTAAGCAATGAAATTGATAGTAGTAGGATTTGAGAACTGAAATATAAAATTTTATGTAAAAATAATAAATTTAAATTTAAATTCAAATTACAGCAACAAGTTTTACCGCAAACGAACAAAATTGTCGTTTTGGCAAAAACTTTTTTGGGGTCGTATTGAAACGACGTTATCTCTCAGCCCTGAAATGGGCAACTGGGTTGCTTCTTCCATTATTACCGCCGCGCCTGCGATGTAAAACCGGTGGTCTTCGTTCTCCGGTCCGTACAAAATCTCCTCTTCTCTCTCAATTCACGCACTTTTCCTTTCTCTCTTTATCTTGAAAGTCTTGCACTTTTCTGCACTCCATATCTATCCTTCCGACTAGGGTTTAAGTTTCGCACCAATGGCTTGCATTGAATTAGAATCATAGTCTTGTCTTCTGACGTAGATATATCTTTTATAATCAAATTTCTGATATGGATGGAGAGAATAAGAGCAGTGGAGACGGCGGGGATGTCCAGATGGCGGCTCCGGCACCGGCGCCCATTTCTAATGCGAACGCTCCGCCGCCGTTCCTTAGTAAGACCTATGACATGGTGGACGACCCGGCCTCTGATGCGATCGTGTCTTGGAGCCCAACCAACAATAGCTTCGTGGTTTGGAACCCCCCAGAGTTTGCCAGAGATCTATTGCCCAAATACTTCAAGCACAACAATTTCTCTAGCTTTGTGAGGCAGCTGAACACTTATGTATGGCTTTCTTTCGCTTACATCATTTTTCAATTCGTTGCACCATTATTTTTATGTCGGAGTTAATTGTTGTTGGTGTGCTGATGACAACAGACCGTACTTTATCAGTGTGCAGTATTTTGATTTGAATGCTTTGGAGTTGATTTGGTTATCAATTATCCTTAGATTAGTTTGGCTGTGAATTTTGCTTGCAGTCTAAACTAGGTTGGGCCCACATGTGGCAACAAAATAAGATTCTAATTCTAACTAGCAGTGTGTATGTTATAATACTGAGGAGGAGGAACGATCTTTTTACTTCTTCTTTGCTTTTTTGGCTGCAATCTACCGTCCTGGTTCTTTTTCATATAAGGAGAGATCTGACTTGATATGACTTTGGAATCTGCTTCAGCTTTTCAACTGAGCGAAAATCTGGACCAGGATGTGTAATTTTGCTTCTGCATGACAGAAGAATGAATGGCCTAAGAAATCTAAGTTTAGATATATATTCCCCCAGCATTTAGTCAGCGAGTAGATGGAGTAGAAGAAGCAGAATTAACAAAGAAAGCAATTGTCAGGTTTAGCAGTGACTTGGTTACTAATTTGTTCGTGTATGATATGATAAATGGCTATTAAAGCTGCTACACGAGCCCAAATAAAGTTAGGAAGATTGGAGATTGCTGAGAATATAATGAAATGTTACCTCACACAGTGAGTTCGTTAATATGCTTTTTAACCTGGTGTTGGTTCCTTGTTAGATAGCCTATTGATGAGAATGTCCCAGGAATAGTTGCAAAAAGTGTAGTTAATCTCCTTGTGAATTTTTTATTGTACTTTTGCCATCCCCACGATGAGTAGTACATAAGCTTCACAAATTTTTATTGGAAGAATATTTTTATTCTGTTGGTCTATTTTTGGCATGTGAAGGCACAGGGCTTAGGTTTTGCTAGATATATTATGGGGCTACACTGATCCTTGATTCCATGGAGAAGGTGGTGATCCACTTTGCTATCCGTGTTGTGGAATGGATAATAATTTACCTTACTACCCAACGATACTCATTCTGTTTAATATAATAACTGCCTAAATGGCACAGAGCTGCCATGGATACATAGCATGAGGCTGTTGTGCTTTCAGATGTTGGTGTAACCTAACCTAAATTTTTCCCCGTATTTGGGATCATTAATAAGATTTTGTTTGTGTTTTTGTCTTGGAGCCTCTCACAGTGATTATAGCATAGACAAGTACTGAAATCCCGGTGTCTCTGGACTCTGGCCGCATTAAGTTGTCTTATCTGTGAATCAATACCAGGTTGCGTTTTGTTCTTTAGATATTCAAACATTATTTTGGTACTCATTCTACAACATTTTTGGTGAATTCTCTGTTGAGTGGCAATGTCAATTATATTTATTAGTACCCTTGCCTTTTTTGTGAAGGTAATTCCTGATTTTGCAGCAATCATTTAATCTAGACGTTCTCATGATACAAACTAATATTATTAGATGGGTGATTTTCTGCTTGGAAGTCCATCCGTGGAGATTTAACTTCTTGCAGAGTTGATGAAAATGCCTGCCACATTGATACTTGTGTTTCATTATTGATATTTTCTGCTTGATTAATATCAGAGCTCAGAAGTTGCATTGCGTAATTGATTGGAGGAGTTTCTCTTCTAGAGCAGGTCCATAGGACCATGACTTGAGCTATATGAATAATAGTTTTCATGAATAGACCGTCCTGTGTCATATTATTGTTGTGCTAGAGCCATGTTTGTTCATTTTTTGTTTTATATTTACACTTGAAGTTTAGCCAAGTGTGTCTACTATCGTATTTGTACAATTCTGATTCTTTGCATTTTTATTTATTTACTTGAGGATGCATTAAACCTTTCCTGTTTCTTTTCCCTTCTAAATGTCATTGTCTTCAATAGGGTTTTCGGAAGGTGGATCCAGATCGATGGGAATTTGCAAATGAGGGTTTTTTAAGAGGTCAGAAGCACTTGCTTAAGAGTATTACTCGACGAAAACCTGCCCACGGCCATAATAATCAACAAACACAGAACTCCCATGGACAGAATGCATCAGTAGGGGCATGTGTAGAAGTTGGGAAGTTTGGGCTTGAAGAAGAGGTTGAGAGGCTTAAAAGAGATAAGAATGTGCTCATGCAGGAGCTTGTGAGGTTGAGACAGCAGCAACAGACCACTGATAACCAGCTGCAGACAATGGTTCAGCGCCTTCAGGGAATGGAACAGCGGCAACAGCAGATGATGTCATTCCTTGCCAAGGCTGTCCAGAGCCCTGGCTTCTTTGCTCAGTTTGTACAACAGCAGAATGAGAGCAATAGACGCATAACTGAAGCCAACAAAAAACGCCGGCTTAAGCAGGAAGGTGTTGCTGAAACAGAATGTACTCCTGCTTCTGATGGACAAATTATTAAGTATCAGCCTCTGATGAATGAAGCGGCAAAAACAATGCTAAGGAAGATAATGAAAATGGATACTGCCAGGCAGGAATCTTTTAACAACAACCTTGATAACTACTTGATTGGGGATGGTTCATCATCATCCAGTGCAATGGACAGTAGTAGCTCTTCAAGCTGGACTTCTGGAGTTACACTTCAAGAGGTTCCGCCAACTTTAGTGCAGTCTTCTCACATTCCAGCTGCTTCAGGAACCTCAGGCCCCTCAGCTGACAAATCCAAAATCCCATCTACAAAAACTGCACCTGCTGTCTCTGCTTCTCAGGCAGACATCATCATGCCTGAGCTTTCATCCATACCAGAGATGGTAACAGAGAGTATTCCTGATGTTCCTGGAGAAAATTATGTGAGACCTGCAATGGACAACACGGATCCTACTTCGTTGGGAGTGAATGAGTCATTGGCCGCTGATGTTGGTAGCATTTCTCCTGATGCAGACATTGAGGATTTGTTACGCAATCCTTCCTTTTGGGATGATTTTCTTCTGCGAAGTCCGTTGCCTGAAGATATTGAGATCAATGCAGCTGAAGCACTGTCTAATGAGGCGCAGCCAATGGAAGACGGGTGGGACAAAGCTGAACACATGAGCCAACTTACGGAGCAGATGGGTCTTCTTGCATCTGATCCAAGAGCAGGTTGATTGTCTTTATTATAAATGTAGATTAATCGTTCGTGCTGGTTAGAGTAAATCCTCTTCCAAACAATATATTAGTCATGTGTATGATATAATTACATCTCCACTCGCCCGCCTTGAAAGCTGATGCTTTTCCTTTGCGCATCCTGTATCTAGTTTGTATATGAGGCCCTAATCTAATCAAATTATTATTAGTTTTTCTTTAATTCTGCCTTCATGTTGAATCTAAGCATTGGAATCATGGTGGTCTTAAGATGGTAATATTATGGCGTATCTTTATTTCTTTGTACCACCAAGGCATTGTTCCCAGAAGGGGTTATATATATCTTCGGTTTGAAGTATTTTATCTTAATAATGGGATGCATGCTCGCCTGGTTGTTGAAACCCGAATCACTCGTTTCTGTTGTGTTTTGGCGAACTAGTGTTGGCAGAAAAGAAATAGCAAGAAACGGCGACTACGGTACACTTTCATCTTAATAACAAGTGGCCAGTGACAAACTCTTAAGCACCACCTCCGAAGCCTCACTTGCCCGCCTCCTTTCAGTGCGATTGCGAACAATTCCCAGTACCCTCGTGAGTCGGTTATGTGCCTCCCCAGCCTTGCTCATCTTCTAACGTACCAATGCTCCTGCTATGGTTTGTTAGTTGATTTGCTCTCAAAAGGGGTAAACGGACAACATTACCGATTTAAGCTACGCGATGGACCCGTCACCAATAATGGGCATCATCTGTTTAATAAATCTATTACGGATTAGCTACAAAAATGAAATTTTGAGGTCCAAATATGAAATTTTTGATGAAATAGATCAACGAGATCGTACAGCTAAGACGTAATCACTAAAGGTCAATCACCAACAGAGCTTACTGAATGCATCCATTTTTTGGTGCACAACCCGAGACCCAGTCAGGAACACCGCCAAGAAAAGGATTGTCCCACAAAGGGTTTTGGTAAAGATTCAGCATAGCCAACCTTCCTAATGCATAAACGGGGGTAAGTACATCCAAAGAATGCAATTTTTTTTATTAAAAATAAAATAAGTAAATCGTTAGCCAACAATCGGATTGTGGTACATCCTTAAAACCCAAACACTAACTTGGAGAAGAGAACAAGCACTCCACACAAAATCATATTTCACTCGTGTGCATCCCACATCATGTACTGACAACACATGCCACAAACTCCAGCTAACTGTGAGATCTGATGAAACAACCTCAGTAAAATCAGTCAAGGGAGATGTCATCTGCTGCCCCTCTTAAATGTTGAGTTTGATCCATTATAGACAGTCTTTGACTAGGCCGCAAGGATTATGATCACGATGAGGAGCACAATTCCAAAGATCACCAAGAGTAAGCAAGTCTAGGGAAAAACCAAAGGAAGTGAGCCTAAATGAGAAAAATACTAAAAAACTGAACATAAGGATGAAAAAGAGCCGTAAAAGATCAAAATGGGGACAATCTACAATTTATCCAGTAAACAGAAGGGAGCTGTAAATAATTGCCTTGCAAACCTACCGCTTCCTCCCAACCCCGAAAAGCAAAAGGTAAAGGTTGTGAACCATGCAACCAGACAAAAAATACTTGATGCTACTAAGGTTGCCTATGTTGGTTCAACTTTGCACAAGACCAGATGAGGTAGGACAATAGAGAATTAATTGAGGTAATCCATGAATTAATAATAACCTTAACAAGTGAAGACAAGTAAATTACCAGAGATGAATTTGATCTTTGGGTCTTTGCAGCTTTCACTAATTGAGATTTCGCCTGTGCAGTTGCTGCATGCGAGTTCTCAATATTGGAGCCAATATCATCTACACACACCCAAAAAAAAAAAAAATCAACATCATATAACATGAACCAGTCCAGACACAGTTTACGGCCTATTTGGAATAGCTTATAAATAACTTTTCAATCATGATTTACAAAATACGAAGTAAATATGTAAAAGAAGTTTTGTCTCGGCTTTTGTGAAATGTGTTTATAAGTGATTTTAATCGCCAATCCAAGCAGGGGATTAGTAAAAGAGGAATGCATGTATCACATTCACACCAAAATAAAAAAGCAAAAGAAAATGGAATGAAAAGTGCATGTAAATCAGCCAATAATATCAAGACCAATTTGCGTTACCAATCATGGTTCCTTGCTCATGAACAAGTACAGCAAGATCTTTGAAAATCTCATTTACTTCGCCAATTTGCTGCTGGATTTCTTGAATGCCTTGCTCTCTTTCCTCAATGATAGCCTCATTAAACACTATCTCGTTATCCAACATCAAGACCTCCTGCCTGCAGCATGAAACATGCAAGAGTTGAGGTGCTATTAAAATAAAAATATGCAACAGGAACAGGATGAAGTTGGAAACTAGCCTTTTGGCAATACAAATCTGAGTTAAATACTTCAATTCTTATCAAAATTTATTTATAAAAAAAAAAAAAAAAAAGGATCCGTGACAGGATCAGCCATTACCCACCAGATCTTGGTATTATTTCTTCAGCCTTTTACAGCTAGAAAAGCGATAAGTAATATTTCATCTATATTTCAAAATTGTTTTTCTCATGTTGTATTGCTACATAAATTGATGAAAACTTCACTGGTTCTTACTAGAAAAGGTAGAAATAATACCACAGTCCCATGAAAATAAATCAGTAAATGACATAGCGGATCGCTAAGTTGCTATCATTAAGACATGAAAAGTCACCTTCTTGATTCAGCAAGAAGAGCCTGTTGTTCTTGGCTCTTACCAGAGGCATCTATCTCACTAGCTGTATAGCTGCAATTCAAAACTTCATAAGCAATGCATGCAGAGGCAATAAGAATTAACAAATAACAACAGAAAATTGGTTGTCAGTTAAAAAAAGCTCAGAAACAGGGAAGTACAGACTAAAGCTGTAGTTTTCTAAAAGTAGTCTGTTCATCTCTTCAAATCAATTCACTCAATAAAGTTGCATCAACATAAGACACCTTGAGGGAAGAACTGCTTGTGGAACAAAAGGAGTGTAAGCTGTTTCCCTCTCAGCTGCAAGCCGTTGGGCCTTCTGAAACTCTTTCAACACTGCCTGAAAGTCTTTTGCAAGTTTGGCATCTGCTATCTTCTTACTTGCCTGCAATCATGACAAAAGCATTGAAGTTCATGTCACCCTAAAAATGATATACAGATAACTTCTGTAACGTTGATTAAAAAAAATAAGTGGAACTCTATTTTTAAGCTTAGACCACTCAATGTAAAAGTTTCAGGAAGAATTTTAATAAGTAATACATATCTCGCTTTTAATAGATATTCGCACATTTTAGAATATGACTATAGCATGTCTATGCTCATCGGTCCTCATATAAACTTGTTACACGGTGCCATCAAGCTGTGCTTTTAGATATGAATATGAAACCAATATATGAAAAAAGTCTAAACTTACATTAACTTCACCATGATGATCTATTTCACTAGCTTGCTTAAGTTTAGTTGATGTATCCTTCACCAATTGCCCAATATGCAGTCTCGTCTTGTGCCTGAAAGTTAAGAGCAGTCAGAGAAACAGCGAAGGTAAAAGATCTCACAAGACTGCTGCTGTAGAGAATGATTAAAAGACATCAACTTAACTAGAATATATTAACGTTCAGTTTATCAGTAACTTTGACATTGTTTATCACCTCAACTATTCTCAACTCATAAACCTAACTATAAATATAAAAGGTATTTATGATTAGTTCAATCGCACAACGTGTCTTGATATGAATATTGTCATGGCTATATAACACTGTAGCTTAATCTCGACATAAAAAGGGGTCAGCGAAAATAGGACCAAGGCCAAAATAGGAGTATCCAAGACAGTATTCATTGTGAGATGATAAATAAGGAGACGACATGCTACAATATAGAGCTGTAGTTTCGTAATCAGCAGATAGCTAGAGGATCTAACAACCATAAAGCAGTAGCAGGGAGACATGCAGCTAGAGGCTTCCAGAATTCCTGATTTTTTACAACATCCATGAGGGCTCCAGGCCAGAGCCAAAAGGTGATCGATAACATCCTACTAAATTCATTATTCAAATTGCACTAGCCACACACACACACACATGCGCGCATAAACACAGCCGCACAACCATGCTATGGCGTAGTTTAAAATTAGCAATGAAACTTAATCCATTGTACTCGCAAGAAAGAAGCAACAGAGTAATCATTCAACGTAAACCACAATCGACCATCGTTCAACATAAACAAGCAAATCAAAATATTCCAGAATCATGAAAATAATCGAATTACATAAACGGATGCACTCACAGCTTTTCACGGAGCTCGGGCGTGTCTTTCGGGGTTCCAAGGGTGTTGACGAGCCTCTGAAACGTAGACACGGCTGTGTTGATCTGAAATACACCCGACGCTACCGCCTGTGTAGGGTCTTGCTTGCCATTGATTAGGTTTCGCCTCGGAGCAAAAGGCCGGCCGGCTTCGATATCCTGAAAGCTCATGCTGCTATTATCTCTCCCGACGACAACCCTAACTTTCTCGAGAAAATCAAACAGAAATCCTTGAGAAAGCAAGAGAACGTGGTGTTTTGTTTATAATGATCTGCAAGCCACAATCGAATTTAGGGTGAATTAGGTTAACAGATGCTATCAACCCGGCGCGGATTGAGGAGAGAGAAAACTGAGCCGACGCTGATGATGATGGTGGTGGTCTAGAGAGAGAAAGGTAGAAAGTGTGGAATGTCGCTAATGTACGATTCGGTGAGGAGTTTCTTCGGGGGAGGACTATGGTGGACGAATTCTTGGCTGTAATGCCTTGCCGGCACGTTGATGTGGACCCACGAGGACACGTGGTGGGTTCGTATAGGCCCGATGTGAAGCTTCTTGCTTTTTCTTTTTCTTTTTTTTTTCCTTGCCCGTGTTTTTTTGTAGAACAATGAAGCTTCTTTTTGGGTGGCATGGCCCCTTGTGAACTGCTACTAATGATCATTCCTCATTGTTAATTCCAGCTCCAAAGTTTAAATTATTGTCGGACGATTTTGTGGTGCATGATTTCTTGTTATTTCTATATGAGTCGTTCGTGACCAATTGTTTCCATATTTATTAATAGTGCTATCTTCTATCATTAATATAATATAAGAGGTAATTTTGATATTCAATTTGATTCTAAATATTTTATCTTTCATATTTATTTATTTATTTAAATAGTTTTTGTAATAATTATATATAGGCTAAAGTATATTTTTAGTCTTTTAACTTTATACAAAATTATATTTTGGTCCCTTAATTTTGAAAAGTAAACTTTTAATCCTCTAATCCTAAAACTGTTAACAAAAAATGATAATATTAAATTCCTGAATGCTGATAAAACATTACTAAATGCTGACATATTCAATTTAATATTCAAAACAACTATGATTATTATAAAAAAATACATTTAAGACTAATAATTTTGAGGTTGAAGGATTAAAAGTATCCTTTTTAAAGTTAAGGGATCAAAATGGAACATTATATAAAGTTAAAGGACTAAAAATATAATTTAGTCTTGTATATATTAAGTTTCATCACATGGTAGTTATAACTAATACATATGATTAGTAATGATATTTTAAGGAAGAAAACACACATTTATTACAAATAACTAACTTAACTAATTTTCTCAATATACTCAAATTAGTCAGTTAGTTCTTATATTAAGAACCAGAGGTAGTAGTATGTTTCAACTATAATAATCATAATATATAAAATTTAGGTTCAATAATATTATTAGTGCTTGCAATTAAAAAAAAAAAGGGGGGGAACATAATCTTGATGCTTGGTTTGGATTAAGAAGTTGGAGTGTACATTTATTTATAGTAGTATATTCAACCGCTATAATCATAATATATAAATTTAATTTAAATCATTAACACTTTTTTTTAGAATATAACTTGTTGTGTTTATTTTTTTTTATTGTCAATTTAGTTCTTATATTTTACTATCTCAATAGCTATTCTTTCATCCATATTTAATTAACAGTCAAAAGGCTTGCGGAAGTTATTATAATTCTCTACCCTAATACAACTAAATTTCCATGTTTTTTTTTTTAATTTTACAAACTACAAACACTAAATTTTATTGAGTTGAAATTGAGAAAAAAATGATTAAAAGTTAAATTATTTTTTATTAACATTATGTATCTATTTATTATATTACGAGGTTTCTTTCTGCTTACAGCTCACTTTTGGCTTTCATGTCATTTGAGCTCGCTTTACACCAGTGTTGTATTTCTTATTTATGTCATTAAATTATAATTATAAAGATTTTTAACTTTTGGTTTATATATGAATTTAAAGAGATTAGAAAAGTGGCTTTTGTCCATACTAAATTATGAAGAGTTCTTTGCGCAATGATTGTGTTACTGCTCACAGAGCGTGGAAGAATCCGAAAGTTTTGCCAATCGAAATGGGTGCTAAACCTGTCAGTCAAAGATCCTTATTCCAGATTTATTGATTTAACTTAACTAAGGTTAAACTGATGGTGATCAAGTTAATTTTTTTCTTCTTAATGTATTTTTAACCTACCATATTGCAAATTAAAAAATATGTAAAAATTGTATCAAGTCCCATCCAAAACGAATTAAATTAAAAAAATCCCTTAAAATTATTAAATTAATCTGAATCCCAAAGGACCTAATTACAAAAGAATCCACTTATTCAATTACTAAATTACTCTTATTTACTTAAAGTATGTATTGACAACTGAAAGGATATCACTCTTATTAATCATTTAAGATACAATAATTAACAATTATCACAGCAAATATTAATAATATATTTTTTTAGTGTATCACAAAGATTTAATGCATAGATTGTTAATATTTACCGTGACAATTATTAATCGTTACACTTTAAGTTATTAATAACTGTCTTTTCAATATGAGAGCAATTTAATAATTGAAACTAAATTTCTTGCAATAAAATTTCTTGAGACTTCAGATTAATTCAGTGATTTCAAAAGATTTTTTTGGTACTTAATTCTTTTGGATCTTAATCCAATTTTTCCCAAAATACACTACCTCTCATTTTCAATATAAAAGCTAGTTAGATTTTACCTTCAATATTTATCTATTTTTCCAATATTTTTAAGGAGGGATATGTCCAAATCCAATGCAATACAACATTAATTTATTATAACTAACTCAACTAAAAATGAACACGTAGATTATTATTTTTCCCGATATTTTTATTATTATAACCAAATGTATCCTGTTACCGTTTTATCATAACCAAACGAGCACGAGAATGAATTATCAACCGCATATTTATGACGAGCACTTGTATAAATCAATGTTCCTTCCACACCTCAACCCCGTGTTTGCCGGCCAAAAAGGAAAACTGGGGCTCCGTGTCCGACTCGGGGCATTTTCAAGTAACGCGGTAGAATTTCCTTTCTCGCTACGGTATTCGCACTCGCACGTGCGAACCTAAGTCAAGCACGCGTTTCTAAGACCCATCAATAATAACCCCCCCCCAAAAAAAAAACACTCTTGTGAAATAAAAATCAACCGCCTGCAAAATCTTCTTCGCGGACTTCGCTTTTCAAAGGCTTTGCCACAGAGATAATCCCTCCGATAGCTGAGTTACTTGGTGATTTCAGTTCACGAGAGATTTCTATTGCCAGTCGTTTCGCGATGTCGGTGAGTTTTGGTTCTTTGTCCGTCTTATTTGTATGAGCCTTAGCTTGGTTGACTTATGTGCGGACTGGATGGAAATGTTTCGTGTGCGAATGCTTAAATTGTTTGTTGGCTTGAATTCTTCGGTGTAAATTTCTGTTTCCGTATATTATGCTTTGAAAGAATGATCTATCTGTTACTTTCAACTCTTGCTTAAAGGTTGCCGGCCGTTTGTATTATTTTCTCTCATATCCATCACTTCTTAGAACGCAATTTTCCTATAGGTTTAACCAATTCCTACCTGCTGCTATTTAAGATTCACTTTATTGGTAGTGGATTAGTTGCAGATGTGTTTTCCAATAATAATCCAATACGTGGTCGTAAGATATTCCGAAACCATGCTTCAATAGTTTATCTGATAATTTATACGAAGCGATGTGCGGAAACGACGCTCCAATTCTACTTGTTTCATAATTTAGATTAAACGATGTCATCTTGAAAGTTACACAATTAAAAAAGTAAAGAAAATGACCAAACTGCATGGCAAGACTATTTTTGGATAATAGAATTATTTACTTTGCTAGCTAACTATTTAGAAGTTAGAACCTCGGTTATACATAGTAATAAATGGGAAAAAAAATTAATCTCAAAGATGGATTTTATATCACTAAAATCATCACCAAAACTAATGCTTTGAAGTATGAGGAAACTGTTTTTGTTTGTGAATGGAACAAACACGGAGTACTAAGAACTGGAAAAATTTGCATGCTTCATGTAAGATTTCCAAATTATAAGCCGTACTATTTTGGCTGCTAGCAGATGAGAAAGAGATTTTAAAGGGTGGTCCAATTTTTCTTATCCAGGGGAGAAGTCGGAAAGTGAATGTGTGTGTTTCTTTAGTCTAGCTGATTGAAATATTTTTATCTGCGGGTGACCAGAATTGTGTTTTAAAGTTTCGTTTTTTTCTTTCCCCCATGCATCTGGCCTTTAGGTGTAGGCTTTCTCTATTGATTGTCAGTACTCCTGTGAATCTGTGATATGTTTTAACCTTTGCTTTTGAGTGTGACATATCTAAAATCTCATTAACTTCGCTTATGCAGCAAACAAAAACTGTTAAAGTCAGTAATCTTTCACTGGAAGCGACTGAACAAGACCTTAAGGAGTTTTTTTCTTTTTCTGGTGATATTGAATATGTTGAACTGAGGAGGTAAGTGGGAAGTTGCTATATTTGACGTATGGAGTCCCTTATTTTATGGTGCTGTCTATTTGAGCTTCTTTTTTAAACTATAACTATGACCTCTTATCTGATGTAGTCATGATGAACGATCTCAAATTGCTTATGTCACCTTCAAGGATGCACAAGGAGCTGAAACTGCTGCACTACTATCGGTAATTTGACTATCATCAATGAACTTGAATTTTAATATACGGTCAAGTACCGCAAATTTTCTAGTCTGTGATTTGTTGCCTTGATAGTTTTTTAGAGGTGCTATGGTCAGTTGATATATGTACCTTTCTGGATAAATATCAGTGAAGTATCTGGAAAATATACTCCATCTGACAATTGTGGATTGCTGCTTGGTTCAGATAGGCTTCCAAATCTCCTTTTGTCAAGAACTTTCTTGTTTAAAATAAGGTCACTTCTCATGTTATCTTCAATCATGATGAATAATTTCGCTTCACATATTGTCTGGAAAACCTTTTTTTTTTAAACAAGCGTCTCAGTTTTCTTGGTTATCTGTGTTATCTGTGCTGCCCCTTGAAAGTTTTTCGAACTTGCGTATATCTAGAGCTGTTTTTTGAGAAATCAGGATCTGGATTCATTTCTAGCTTTAAACTACACTGCAAGGAAAAGAAGATGGTCTGGCGATGTTCATACTAGTTTTTTTGACCATAAAGATCTCCAATTGAAAAAAACCTCTTCCAATCATAACAAAATGTTGGCTCTGAATCTTAGATTTCCTTTTCCTCGACAGCAGACAAATGAGAGGGTTTAGGATTATTTTGGAGCTTGACTATCAGGGCTGGCACTGCAATATATTAATCTAGAGTTCTCTGATCTTACTGGATGGATGACGTACAAATTCTTGAAAGTCATGATATTGAAAATTCTCTCGTGGCTTTTGGATAGAAGTATCCTTTGGGAACTAAGATCAGTCAATGTCAGATTTAACATGAATAGAAGGGGCTGGCAAGAGGGGATTTTGAATAGTTCGGATGAGACCTTGTGGTTAAAAGTATAAGCTTGCGTTGCATTCTTTATTTGCCACCGGCTCTCTTCTTGGTGGGGTTATTTTTATCTATTACCAAGATGTTCTGGTGCCTCTATTTTGGAAGCATATAACTGTGCCCTTTTTTTTTGGGGTTTTTTTTTTTTGGGGGGGGGGGGAGTCGCATGGCTGTAATTATATTAATGAGTTATTGTTCACAACCTCATCTATCTCTTTTGTATATCAGTTCATATACCTTACAATTAATTGTGTAACCAAGTTCCACCCTGGTTTGACAATTGTCAGGGAGCAACAATAGTTGATTCGTCGGTTACAATAACTGTGGATCCTGATTACCAGGTCCCACCAGCTGCTTTGACATCACCTGTAAGCTTTGCATGAACCTCTACAATTGTACTAAGGGGTGTTTTGGAAAACCCCAGAATATATATATTAAAAAAAAAAAAAAACTCTTCTATGCTTTACAGGACAAAACTCCTCTCACATAAAATCACTTGAAAGAAGTTAAACCAGATTAGGCTGTTTTGGCATAACTGTTTCTGTGGCTTTACAGGTAACTGAGTGTAAGACTCCTGCTACTGGTGGTTCTGAATCTGCTTTAAGAAAGGCAGAGGATGTGGTCACCGGCATGATGGCTAGGGGCTTTGTCTTGGGGAAAGATACCGTCACCAAAGCAAAGACATTCGATGAGAAGCATCAGTTATCATCAACTGCCTCAGCAAAAGTTGCATCTTTTGATCAGAAAATTGGGTTCAGTGAGAAAATAACTGCTGGTGCTTCAGCCGTGAGTGATCGAGTTCGAGAAGTGGATCAAAAGTTTCAGGTTTCAGAGAAAACCAAAACGGCATTTGCAGCTGCAGAACAGAAAGTCAATGAAGCGGGTTCTGCTATCATGAAAAATCGCTATATACTCACTGGGGCTTCATGGGTTACAGGTGCTTTCAGTAAGGTTGTTAAGACAGCTGAAGATGTAGGACAGAAGACAAAGGAGAAAGTGCAAAATACAGAAGAGGAACGGAAGCAAAAGGATCAGCATGCCCCGGCCCCCTCCGAGTCTTAGATGCACCAACAACAGGTGAATAGAACCCATACAAGTCTTCTCCTCCTGAAGGCCTGATCCTATAATTTTCTTCTTGTGTATGGAACTCCTGCCAACTTTTTCCCACTTATGTAGCCTTTTTTCGTTTCTGCTTTAAAATATAGCTCGGATTTCACTAGTTACTTGGACAAATTTGCAGTTTAGCCCCCCCCCTCCTTTGTAAGAAAAAGATGTGCCGAAGTATGTAGGTGTTTGATGATTTTGTTTTTATGATTTGTGTCGCTTTCTCCATTTATTTTGTGGTAATATGTAACTTGTTACCTTGTTCCTGTGAAAGTCTTTTGGAGCTGACTCTTCAATCGACCCTTTTTTTTCCCCCGGGTCTGCTTTTTAATCAAGTTTAACCAATGTGGTTAGAACCGGACTGGGTCCGTGGTCAGACCATTCTTAATTAAAATATTATAATTAAGGAATATTGTCAAAATTTATAGTCAATCATACCATTATTATAATAGAACTACCATTTATTATCTGCTACATATCACCAAAATTATCACACGTCACATTAATTCATTAACAAAAGCAGCCCAAGTTTCTATCATTGACTAAAATCACCAATGAATTATCATTCATATATATAGATATATAACTCTAAAGGAAAATCACAAAGAAAAATACAAAATAACATAGTTTTGTGATATTGAACTTTTTCAAAGGGAAAAAAACAGTTTATGATCGGTTTTGACCAGTTCCCTCTGGTTCTTTTGTTGGCCAGGTTTCACTTTGTCCCTAATTGGACCAGGCACCAATTTGTGGTCGAACTAGCAGGTCTAGCCCGATTCTGACATTGTTGTTTTAGCTTCTTCTTGTTGTTCTTATTATAATGCTATTTTTACGGTGCATGGCTGTAGTTTTTTGAAAGATACGAGTAGATTGAAGTTATTTTTAAAAAAAAAAATTAATGAAGAGTAATTGAACAGAAAGGTTGTGTCCCAATTAATTCAAGGTTGATCCAAACCTAAACAGTAATCAAGTATAATAATTTTTTTTTTTTTTTTTCCAAGCACGAATGCATGGATCATTAAGTAAGAATGATTATTTCGATTGTATTTTTATTCTATTAAATACATTATAAATTTTACCCACATTCATTGTGTTTGCATCCCTTTTTTCTTCGATCAATATTGTGATTTTATTTTCCGAAATCCGAAGTAGACATTTTCTCTATTCTCTCTGAGAGAACGTCTCGTATGGAGGATTTTCCTCTTCCACGGCGGAAGAATTATCCCTCTTCTGAATATAGAGAAGGTTTTCCTTCCGTTGGGTTAGAGCTTCAAATCTTTTCCTCAGGTTCCTGTGGAATTGTAATCTGCCTCCATCAGATCCACCAAAGAACTCTTATATTATAACACTTATGATTTTTAATATAAAAGCTAATGAACTAATATAAGTAAATTAAAAAAATCAGTTAAGTTAGTTATTATAATATCTTAACATATTCTTGATAATCACGTGTATTAGTTATAACTATTATTTAATAAAATATTTAATATATTAAACTACTACAAAGAGTATTTTGAGAAAAATAGATAAATATGAAACAAAGTAGATTGAAGTCTTATACTTAAAACCGTATTAAATGTCAAATTAATTCTTATATTTAGAACCGAGGTAGTGTATTGATGGGAAAAAATATTGAGGGAATTCAAAAGTAGCATCCAAGAGAGGGAGAGACTCGTGAAGATGCCAAGGAGCCAAGGGAGAATGAGAGCTAACGGGAGCTCCACTCACGAGCAGCTACTTAGCTCCATGGTGCGCTACTCGTCATATTCACAGCCTTTAACAATAGAGAGAGAACATTAGACAAGAAAATAAAGAGAGATACTCTAAAAACTAATCTATTTTATATTTATATATATTTAAAAGACGTTTTACTATAATTTTTTTGTAAATATAATTTTTTCTTTTAATTTTATATAACTTTTTGTTGTGAAAAGTCTAAATAAGTTGAATCATAAGAATTCATGGGAACCAAGCATACCGTAGAGCTTAAAAAATGTTTGCCGATAATTATAGATTCTCTATTAATTAATAAGGCCTTTATATCAATAGTAAGATTTGAGTTCACAGCCTTAAAAGTTGTAACACACATTTTTACTCATTGGATCAACTTTTGTCATCTAATTTTTTTAAAAAATATTTGGATTATTTTCATCCGTCAATAAAGACTAATTTCTCTTGCTAAGGGCACATGATAAACCTTTTTTAAAAATAGATTTATTTTTATATAAATTTTATAAAAGTTATTGAAACATTGTTCTCCACTCTCAGCATATCGAGGCCTGTATAGCTACAGGAGGATGTGATATCAACCATTCCTATAGTGATACTATTAACCACATTAGACTTTTGATTTTGTAGGGAGTGGCAAGTCCAAATCAACCATGTGTTTAGAAAAGATCTAACCTTAGCTGATCATTTTACGAAGATTTATCACAATGTATATTGTTTATGTGCCTGTTTAGATCAACGTTTGCTGATCCAAACATGGCTTAAAACACAGATAAGTCCGATTCGATTAGGAGGTGTTGTGCGTCTATTATATTGGGTTTATGAAAATTTAAGCTGGCCAATCATACATTTAAAATAAGCTGGAGAATGGAGCTTATGAGGAGCTTATTTTGTCCCACTTCTGCATTACCGTTTTGACACACTCAGCAAATTTTTATTTCCTCTTTCTCTCCTTTCTGCATTATTTTTTCCAGAGCATTTTCTCTAAAGTTTTTAAAATTTAATTAACTCAATTAATTTCATTTTTTCATATTAAATTAATTTAAATTTATTGTATTATCTCAGTTCATTTTTTTCCATGTTTCACTTTATATTTAAATTATTTTTTATGATTTTTTAAAGTTTTAAAATTTAATTCATTCATTAAATTTGACTTCTTCATATTGAATTCTTTTAATTTCATTGTATTATGTGAAATCATTTTTTTTAAAATCATATTTCATTATTTATTAAAAATCATATCTATTTTAGTTATTTTATAATCAAACTTACTTTTACTCAATCATAATCCAAACGACCTTTTACCAATTTTACTTTTGCAAACTGACTTTTCTGAATTCCAATTCAAACACAATTCAACTTATCCAATTTAGCTTATATCTAACTTTATTTTTTTAAAAGCTACTTTTTTAATAAACTACTTTTTCAATCATTGATCCAAACAAACCCTATATCTTTGATCTACCTTGATATTCCCCATTGTCTTCCATTCCTATTTGGAACAAATGCGTGGGACTATCTGCTCTGAAAATCTCCCGAAATTCTGTCACGGAAGTTTTAGGAAAAACTCCATTAAGAATCTTAATTAAAATTCAATATAAACCATGCTAAAGTTTATACAAAAATATGATATATTAATGGTAAAAAGTTGTTGCATAATTTTTATTAAAAAAAAACTCAAAATTACTGACAAAATAGTTACAAATGAGAGTTGGTTTATTTTTTGTAATGTCAAAATCTAATTGTTTTATTCAGTTTTGGTTTGGTTACATAAAACCAAATCATCAAGATAATGTGTAAGTTGAAGTTATACTTAGGACCATAATTAAATATATGGAAACTTCAATATATTTTTTTCTCAACAAATTGAAATCAATACTACTTTTTACTTTTCACATAACTGAATCAATGCTTTGATCTTTGAAACGTTTTATCCAATTATATAACATATCATAAGGATAAATGTCTTTTTTCCTAACTTCAATTATTTTTATAAAATTGTAATCGTAATTGTAATCATTTTAATATCAATTTTCTTTCCGAAAACGAGTATAACTTCAAATATAATTTCTAAACATAATTACAATATCTTTAATTGGAAAAAAAATCTCTTTTTAACATAATCCAAACTAATCCGAACCAACTTAAGATCTTAATTCCTGAAGAGATAAATTTAGAGTTTTGCCAAATCAGTTAGGTTCAAACCAAACCTCTTGTACAGAGGTGCAGATTGAATGATGTGAGTGAGTGGAAAGCAGATATCCAAATTATGCAAAATCACAAAACTTTCCATTCATTAATTATCAATTCAAATTGAAATAGAAGTGTTAATAGGTAAACTTGCTCCTTTCAGAGAACCAGCCATAAAGAACTTTTCCAAAAGGACTGAACATTATTAGAAGGAAAGCAAAGATTATGCAACAAGGGATAGCTTTGTTTTGTTATAAATAACTGGATCTTTGTCAACATTGATCATCTCTTCGCTTTTTAATATAAGAACTATTTAAAAAATTATATTAAATATAATATGATCTTAAAAAAATTTATATAAAATCGATTAGAAAGTAGAAAAAAAACCACCGAAATAAAAAAATTACAAATAAGAACCCGTTATAACAGTTGTATTGGTTTTGCCAACAATTTTGTGAACGCATCCTTGTGTGTAATTTTTTAATTTCAGCTGTTTTATTTTACAATTTTCTCAATAGATTAAGATGTTATATTTAAAATTAAATTGGATCTTCATATTATAACGTGGATGGGATGAAATTAAAAAAAATACCCAAATTTAATCCAGATAATAATTCCCTCAAATTATTTCCAGTTGGCATCGCATCCGCATCCGCATCCGGTATTCCAGTTCCTACCTCTCAATTCAAAGTGCATTAACTGTCCCAAAATGCAGCTGGGTTCCAACAATTGGCGCAACTGCTATCCTGCGCCTTCGCCGGAGGCTCACTTTAACCTACACCACCACCCCCTCCGAATTGCAATAATCAAACACAGCTCAAAACAACTGAAACAGAGGCGGATAATCTTTTGGTAATTTATCAATTATAAATTAGGAACCGGCGAGGCATTGCATTCCAAGTTTCAGATGCCTATACAGAATTTAAGAGCGTAACTTATTTTTTTCTTCCTCTTATTATTGTTTAATTTTCACGCACGACCAAGAAAGTGAAGAAAAGAAAGCTATTCTGATAAACGAAGTTGCAGGAATCATCAAGACGGTAAAACCAGTTAATGCAGCTTAAAAATCGGCGAATTTCCTGTGTGGCCGTGTCTCTTGCAAATTTTTCAGGGTGTGAATCGGCAAAATATCGGCTCCGTCTGCTGGAATCTGCCGGATATCGTTCATATCCACCGCCAAGTCTATCAAAAAAAAAATGGAAATGCATTATAAGAAAATTGGTAGAGAATGTTAAAAAAAAAAAAAACAAAAGAAAATTGGTTGAATGAAATTAATGTGGGAATCTGGAAATGCATTATACCAGAATGCTCGGAGGAGAGCTTGAATCTGCGAAAGGAAGCCATGTCTGACGCGGAGGGAGTGTGAGAGCAGA